TCAAAGAAAGCTGCAGATTTATTTAATGAAAACCAACAAAGATTGCCTAGATAATGGGAATGGTCAAATCATCACAATAGAGGCCTATTACAAATACGCAAAAGCTACATTCTCTATTGGAACAGTACAGTATTTTTACTACATATAATATAAAATAGTTAGCCAGCTGTAAAGTAACGGTGATAAGTTCTCCTTCATTTAATTCCTTCAACTATGAACGCATGCTTAGCTTTCGGTTACCAGTTTAAGGTTAAGCTATAAGTTATGATTATAATTCATATACTAAGTTTATAAAAAGAAATTGTATACGAATAAGGGAGCTGTAGTAACAGTCTAGAAGAGCCACGTGTAGTTTGTGATCTATAGTTTGGCCAACACAGGTCTAAATCCTCCAACAAATGTTTAGATGCAAGAAGGTCTGAATACTGTGTGTTGGCTGAAGCTAGGGCATATAGGTTCTAAAACCTCTATAAATATTTATAGTTGTAACTTATGATTTTTATAACTATTTATAGACATAGTGCCATCATGACATACAGTACTGATGTTCGCATTTAACTATTTCAGCCCATGTAATTGCGCTGGCTTCAATTAGCCCACTTGACTCTTCGTGAAGTACTTTGTTATATAGTTTTAAGGGTGTGGTGGCTTGCCCCACCCGGGCACTGAGGTGATTGCTATCGCTACATGCACGTACAACTACATGCAAAGCGTGTAAAGTAGACATTATACTGATACATGTTAAAAACTGATCTTTAAAGGTGAATATCTTGCAAAGGGTCAACAATTCTGGGGTGTAGTGCTAAACCCTTCATTCAGAGCTTGAATCTTAACAGGACACCAACCTATATGGTAACAGAAAAGTACCCTTTCCCACTTAACATTTCGGTTTATTTGTCCAAAAAAACCACTTTTATGTCCTTCGACATCCAGAGGGACAACTCCTGAAAAATTCCTGGGGATTTAGTGATGTGGTGTTTCGTTGCGACAAGTACAATGTCCCGCGAGCGGAAAAGCACGAAATAAATACACGTTGGATGTCTTTAACACAAAGATATTTATTGTCGCTTCGAACAGGTTCGTTTTTCTTCAGATCCCAACAATACAATAATCTCTGTACGTACATGCGTTAANAGATAATTTTACTACCTACAGTAAAAAAAATGGTAAAAAATTACGGGATACTTTCTACATAATTATAGGCAAGGGTGTAACTATAGTACAGATGGCTCTAGTAAATTGTGAGGTGGTCTTACCAATCAGGGTCACATACAACAGAAAAAGAGGGTCTGAGGCTAGCAATGGAGCTTCGAATTTTGGGCCCCAATGCAAATATGGCAATAAAGGGACTTCCTGTAAACTTTAGCCTCTTCAAGGGCCCTTTTTAACACTGATATTATTCATTTCCAATATTTTGTACTTTAATGTATAATTTATATACTATGTTCCAGCTTTTTGCAGCCTCCTCAACAAAATGAGCCCTTAGTCTACATAGGTTCCTATGCAGTTGCATAGTCTGCGCAAAAATATCAAATAAATTATCAGTAATTGAGTATTATTAGTTGTTCATTAGCTAACTACTCAATACATGTTACCTCCTAACATATAATGTATACTGAGGACATGAATATGGATATCATTACTCTAAAGTTTCTTAAAATCTTTTCGGCTACTTGAAATATCCTGTTTATTTACTGAGATACCAAACTTTCTTTTAATTACATATACCCAACAATTCTGTTTTGATAATTAAAAATGACTTCCGATCACCTCCTTCATCTTTGACATCACCCTTTGTCTTATGGGCAGATACATTTCCTGTTGTCACCCTCTCGTTTGATCTGGTTTTGGAACTGGTCACAATCATCAGACACTTAGTAGGATTAGGTAAACAGTGCCTGGCAATTCTGTGTCATCTCCAACTGTAATATCGTCTGGATGTCTTATTACTTAATTTGGATGGTCTGATAAGGATTTGTGTGTTCAACGAAGGATAGTCACTGCCCTATTTGTCTACTTAAATGTAATATTAAAAAATTCTGCAACTTGTTAACTTTCTATAATCCAGTTGCAATGACAACACCACCACGCCAGGTGTGTAATCCTGTGTCTACCGGTTAATGGAACCCCGGTTGCTGGTTGGCAGCTCGACTTCTTGCAATCTGTTACAAATGGTTTGGGTGAACAGATGCACCCACTGACAGTGACAGGCAGCTTTGGATGTCACATGCCATGGCAAGTGAGTCCAATGGACTGTTTGGTGAATCTGTTGAGTGCTGGTGTGAGCCACTACCTCTTTGGCGTGGCGCAGACATTCCTGCATCCATCGTGTCACGTATCACTGGATGGTACTCACATCGTACCCAACACACGGTAATGGCTCATCAACAAACTGAGGTCATGCAGTTCTAGGATATAATCTTGTTCTCCAGCTGTTAACTGGTGCTATTCAGCTCACCGTGGTCTCCAAAGCATTTTCTAAACTGCTTCAAAAATTTGGCTGCCACAAACTGTCGCTGATAACATTTGTGGCCCGAGCCAACTGCTGGTCTTTATAGCCCGAAACTGGCTACCACATGACCCAATGCATATTTAAAACTTCCATTTGTAAATTCAGTACAATGCAATATCCCATAGTCAATTTGTGGCTGCCATGCAGCATCCATTCTGCTATAGACAATGTTACTTAAGCATTAATTATTACATTTAAATTAATATGCCACAGCAATTGATGCAGCTGTTGTGTGCACTAAAAATATATTCGCCGTTCTACAGAATTTCACTCATCTGAACCAGACTTAAGGACAAAAGTAATATGCTATTATTGAATGTATTTTTTGTTAATATATCTTCTATTAAATGTTTATCTAAAGCTGTGTTCGGTATGTTATATAACAAGCTATTTTGATGATGTCATTAATATTTATATTCATTTTAATTATGCCAGTTTATCAAAGAATACTCCCCCCAGAAGTTCAAATAAAACATATAAAAATATTGGATTCAAAATGGAAAGACAAAGCCGAATTCCTCGGTACTTTCGGGTCTCAATTTCTAGATGATGATAAAACATTAAGACATAACCTATGTAAAAATTTAATCACAATCAAAGCAGTTTTAACTCCCGAAGATAATCCGGAGACCAAAAAATAATAGGGAATTGTGTTTTTTGTTCTATTTTGACTCCAATAAACTAAAGTTCTGAGCATAAAGTATTAGAATGTGCTATTAACGGAAAAGAAAATGGTCTTACAAAACTAGATTGATATTCTTTATCATATCTCTCAATCATAGTTTTGCTCCTCTTTATTTCATGTATAATTTAAAAAGATAAAACTATTATACAAGGTGTTACCATATTCAATAGTTTGGAAAAAAATTCTATAGAATCATTACAATATGCAAATATATTGTTACCGTAGGAATATAAAAAGAAAATGTAACCGAATAAATACGAAAAAGTCCATTCTTCTACTGCTAATGTTATATGTTATTTTCAAATACATAGGATATCCCAAAAGTTGGTTAACTGAGATGTTTTTAAAACTATTTTAAGAACAGTTAAAACTGAATTTTATTTTTCTCTAAATAAGAAAGCCTTTTTAATCATACCTATCAAAAGACGGCCAAGTGGCGAGAGCCTGGATCCGACATCTCCCAGATAATCGTCCCCGAAAAATTTCTATGGGTGTTTCGACTACTCCGTGACCTGGCTACGGAGCCGTCTAATTAAAACCGGTCTGGTATAGCCGCGCGTCATTAATCACTATTGTAAATTTAGTTATTTCCAACGAAACAATGTACAAACAGCATGCGGCTGTTCTAAATTAGTTTTAACTGTTCTTAAAATCTTACAATGTATTTTTATTTTAATTACTTTTTGTCTAATTGTAGAGAATTTCGTGACTTAAATTTTAAAATTCCTCTATTAAATCTTTTAGAATAATTTATTTGAAAATTTCCATATAATCCTGAAAATGTTATGCACAGTATATTAAAAAGCATTAACTCATAGAAATGAGAATGTAACAATTAATGATACTATATTATATACTTCCAAACTGATTGGAAATATTGAAAATACAATATAAATTTCATTAATTAATTAATTTTACAGTTATTAAATACCTTAATTATCCAGTAAAGTTTTGACCATGCATTTCCAACTTTCAATATACAAAGAACAGTTGTAAAGCACAGTACTTTTTTTCCTTAACATGTAAAAATACTCTTCATACTTGTTATAATTTTAATCTCGCAGGGACCGGAATTATTGAATTCGAAATGAGCTGGCGTACCAATTAAATAAATAATCCTGTTTGATGATAGTTTGTATGTTAACTAACTCTTGCCAAGGTTACATTTGTTTTTCCTGCTATTTTGTTTGTACAGTTTATCAACTCCCAATGTTTTATGCTTGGTTTAAGTCGAATTATCAAGGGGAATAATAATAATTGTTGTTATTGGTTGCGATGGAGAAATCCAGTAATTTAAAAAAGGATATTGTATTTAAAACATTCAATTTTAATGTAGACCTTGTCTTACTTCTCGTAACCAGTAGTCGGACGAGGCCCTTAAGAAGGCCAAGCCGCGGACGGTCGTGCCCACCATTTAACGAGGCCCCGCGGGTTAGGGCCTTATTCGGTTGGATTTTGAGATATGGTTAAAAGATTCGAGCATGTTCATGCGTTCATTCATTAACACTTATCGTCACAACACGCACGCGCGTGTTTGTGTGTGTGTATCTAGGGTGGCCCAAAAATCAGTTAACCGTACGTTGGGTGTGCGCACTCTCCGGTATACTTGTGAATATGATTTATAAATTACAATTGGCTAAAGGCAGCAACTTAGACTATACAATGGTTAACTGACTTTTAGGCCGTCCTGTATATATATACATATATACTGTATTTGTAAAATAATAAGTTATGCTTCTGCAAACGAATTGGAATATTTAGAAGTTTCTTATTTATACATATATATGTAATTCTTTTTTCTAGATGATGAACTAACGGCAGCAGGAGGACCAGGCCCAATGGATGTGCTGCAAACGAGGTAAATATTTACAGATAATTTACTAGGCCACAAATAAATTTTACTAAATCACAAATAAATCCTAGACATATATATATATTATATATTATAAGAATCAGATACTGTGTCACGGATATTTTATTACCTAGATAAATTATGAATCAGTAAAATAGCGAATTAAATCGATATTTTCCTTAAAACCTACGGGATTATATCTGTACCTTTATAAAAAAAACTACTAAGTATTTCGACTTTTGGTCCATCTTGTATAATTATAATTGCCATTCCTTAGCACTACTTCCTTTATAATTCCACAGTTACTAGTAGACTCTGGAAGAACAGTAAAGGTAATTTTATACCCGAACAGGCGCTCCTTTTTCATTTATATCTGTACCCGGTTTAAGGAACGTATCGCTTTTTGCTACCAAAGTTACTAATACAATTCTAATTTCAAATCATCCGATAGAGTGTAATACTGTTATACCACACCAATAGACTCTTCCGTAAGGGAAATGGTAAAAGGAAAGGGGAGAAACAATACTTTAGGGAATGCTTTCCCACGTGACAATGGCCAGACCCATTCTATGGCTTTTATTATTACTACTATTTCAAATACAGTGCTCTCTCTCGATAATTCGAACCAATTATTATACGAAGTCGTTCAGATTAACGGAGTCAGACGTGAAGAAAAGGGACTAAAGGGACTTGCGATTACGCAGAGTTCGAATTAGCCAGTGTGTTCCGTACTCGATTAGTGTATTAATTACAGTGGTATTATTAAATTAGTAAGTCATTATAGCTATCTCGCGTCGTATTTATAAGATAAAATATATATATATATATTTCTATAGCCATTTTTCTTTTTTAAACAATGCTAACAATTTTACAGCTGTGCCATCCCAATCTCTCCTCGAAATACACCCGTTTGGACAGCAACTTGGGACACAACCAGTAGACACGCAGCCTCGCATCATTAAAAGTAATTTCGTTTTTAATGTTCACCATTTATTTTATTAATATAAAACTGTAATAGTAATTCGTTATATACATCATTAGGTATACTAAAATATTGTAAATTGGACTACGAGGACCTTGAAACGTCTAGAAATGCAAAAAAAATTAGGGTTTTTTCTGTATGTTAATGTGTGAGGGGACACGATTTTCTTCACCCTGTTTGAAGCTCGGATACATCAGACCTCATTTCTCACCATCCGGCTGTCTACATTGCTGGCCTGGCCGAACCCACGATGGGTATAATAAAATAGGCCCTCTTAATGGCCAAAGGGTCGGAGAGTTAAAGTTTCTCTCTTCATTTTTTAACCCTCCACTCCGTGGCCGCTAAGAGGGCCTTTTAGCAAGCTCATTATAGGTTCGCTCAGGCCCACAATGGGGCGATCGTGTGGTGAGGGACCGACCACCCCGAAAAATGGAGTCTCACGGGATGATAGGTCGCCACTTCAAAGTGTGTGAAGTTTAAAGTAAAAAGAATTTCTGGCATTTTAGAATAATGTTAGGCATCGTGCCATTCAATAAAATAATCAAATTACTCTGAAAATACCTCTGATTATTTCAGAAATTTTCGACAAAAAAAGGAGTTAAACTTCAAACAGGGTGAATAAAACAGTGCCCTACACACATATCCATACACAAACATACATATATAGGGGAACAAAACCCGAATTTTTTGCATTTCTCGACATTTCGAGGTGTCCCGAGCACACGGTATGTAAGCATTTAACACGCGCGAAGTATGCAGTTTAATACGAATAAGCTTATTAATACAGTACAATAGAAATGTGCTTAACACTATAGCGTTGTCGAATTAAATAAATATTTACACGTTTTTTTTTTTCTCTCTCTCTCTCCGCAGCCCTTGGAAACGTGGCCGAGGACTCGTCTCTGAAATCATCTAAAGCCAAAAACACAAGTTACTAATTCAGATGTGATCTGTATCGCCGAACTAACTTATTTATTACTGTCTTCTGATCCGAAAACAAAACGGTGATACCAACGTGTCGACTCTGCTGCACGATGGCCACGGTGTGATATAGACTCCTATCGGTTGTCCATTTTATTGTTATATCTGCATGTGGATATATTCAACGTTCATAAAAAGTAATCACAACTTCAAATCACCGGGTTTTACCATACAAAACTGGAGATACCACGTGAAAGAATCGAGAAGATGGACGAGGTCGCTTGCTCAATATGCCGAAATATTTTGGAGCGTTCTGCTCACGTCTCAATAATAGTAATACTTTATGTGGTGGCTTGCTTTTTATTGGTGCTCCGTGTGTTGTCTCTTCTTTTTTCGGAAATAGTTGGAACGTATATATATATATATATATATATACCCAAAGAAGGTGTGTGTGGCAGAGAATAACGAGTGAACTGTAGATAAACAGGAGCCCAAGGCTCCGATGATGGAAGAGACGGTTTTCAAATAAGACAGAAAACTGTTTTCAAGGCATTGTTTAAAACATATGCTTTTTGTATTTGTACACAAAATTGTGGTTCTCAACTCGGACAGATCACTTAATGATTCACAAATGACAGTGCCATGGCTGTAAGTCAAATCGATTTTTAAAAAACCCTCGAGGTTGTCAGTAGTAATGTATTGGTAATTTGTGATGTACAGAAACTTACTTGTGTGTAAACGTGTTTATGTACTCGTATCAGATTTTCAGGCTGTTAAATGCCAAAAACTCCAAAGAGATTAGTATCCCCAAGTGTAGTTCCTATGATTTCTTGTACAGTACGTTTGGCAGCATGTGTCGATTGATAGAAGGAAAACCAGTGGGATCTCAGACTATGTAGAAGCTACCAACTGTGATGACGAGACAAATCATGGTGCTGGTATCTGTTTTCGCTAAGTATTTACGTGTCTCATAATTCATGTGATATGCCAAGCATTCATCTAGAACAGCAGTTGATTTCAAAGAACAGTTTCTCACTTTCCAAAAAATGATCTGGCCATTAGAAATACAAACATACAATGTATTCACTTTTACAGTGTTTTTGAAAGCTTATTTGCAGAGGAATCTTTAACGGAACATTTTACATCTTCTATAGAACATGATTTGACTATTTAGTTTCTAAAGCCATACCGTTAGATGAAATTTTCATAGTTTTTCATCCATGTATTTGCACGTATGGTAATCGTGAGTTGTGAATCTATTTTTTGAATTTTCACTTGCACATTTGTAGCTGTGATCTAATAAAACACCATTCCAATTTAACCTCTCGTCTTTTTCTTCTTTATACCTTTATACACAAACATGCAGATTTTTCTCGTGGGTGGGTTAACCCGGATACGTCTGCCCTGTTGTAAGCCCGGCCGATTCCATGATGGACAAGAAAATTTTAACTCCTCGGACAAAAGGTATATTATTCTGTTACAGTACAATACCTGGTCCAAACAGGCCTAATAAAGATTTAAGGCTAAATTGGTTAACCCTGTTAAACATTTATCCTCACCGCAGAAATTAATTTTGATCGTATTGCAAGTATAGCTAGGCACGAGTGAAGTAAAGGTGTATTCGGTACTGTGTGGGGGGTGGGTCAAAGAAACACCGAAACGTTCTGTAAATGCCGTATTGAAATAAATCTTTTCATTCTCTCAAATTACCAATGTTATAGCTGTGTTGCTCTAAGCAAAAAAATTCGAAAAACTTCGCCTTGTGGGCACTAAGAGGGCCTTTTCAGTAAGCCCATTAATGAGTTTGGACAGGCCCACAATGGAGAGACAGTTAGTGAGGATGGACAACCACTAGAAATTCCTGTGGTTTATTCGATCCATAACCTTTAATAACCCCCGTGCTTTTTGTCAAAACCTCTTGAAATTTAAAGGAAGGTTTATGTATTAAATTTTGGTGGTTAAAGGTCAAAGGATGAGGAGATAAAGGGGATCGTGTGTTGTATCTCCGGTGTGCTCAGACTTAATGATTTAACTCGTTATTATCATTTACAAATTTTAATAAAACCCATCCCTACCCTCAAAATTAAGCTTTTTGCCATTTTATAACAGTTTAAAATATAAGTTTTTTTTTAATAAAATATCATAACAGATGGCGCCACCAAATGTCGCCGGAAAAGTTAAGCGACTCGTTACTAAAAATTAGAAAATAAAGTTAGGATTTAAAATTTATTTAAATAATTGAATATATTTTAGATGAAAATTTTGATTATTTTCATAGATCATTGATGAAATTCAATAAAATAAGTAAATAAATCTGGAGATTATAGACCAATTTCCCTGTTANATCCCACCCAAGGGAAAAAGGTTGGAAAGGAAAGTTCTAGAAAAGTAAGAAATAAAGGAACAAAGAAACTTAAAACTAACTAAAATTAATATTTTATACAATTTTATGGCCGACGGCCACAGTGACTTTAGGAATACAAGAGATAATTTTACTACCTACAGTAAAAAAAATGGTAAAAAATTACGGGATACTTTCTACATAATTATAGGCAAGGGTGTAACTATAGTACAGATGGCTCTAGTAAATTGTGAGGTGGTCTTACCAATCAGGGTCACATACAACAGAAAAAGAGGGTCTGAGGCTAGCAATGGAGCTTCGAATTTTGGGCCCCAATGCAAATATGGCAATAAAGGGACTTCCTGTAAACTTTAGCCTCTTCAAGGGCCCTTTTTAACACTGATATTATTCATTTCCAATATTTTGTACTTTAATGTATAATTTATATACTATGTTCCAGCTTTTTGCAGCCTCCTCAACAAAATGAGCCCTTAGTCTACATAGGTTCCTATGCAGTTGCATAGTCTGCGCAAAAATATCAAATAAATTATCAGTAATTGAGTATTATTAGTTGTTCATTAGCTAACTACTCAATACATGTTACCTCCTAACATATAATGTATACTGAGGACATGAATATGGATATCATTACTCTAAAGTTTCTTAAAATCTTTTCGGCTACTTGAAATATCCTGTTTATTTACTGAGATACCAAACTTTCTTTTAATTACATATACCCAACAATTCTGTTTTGATAATTAAAAATGACTTCCGATCACCTCCTTCATCTTTGACATCACCCTTTGTCTTATGGGCAGATACATTTCCTGTTGTCACCCTCTCGTTTGATCTGGTTTTGGAACTGGTCACAATCATCAGACACTTAGTAGGATTAGGTAAACAGTGCCTGGCAATTCTGTGTCATCTCCAACTGTAATATCGTCTGGATGTCTTATTACTTAATTTGGATGGTCTGATAAGGATTTGTGTGTTCAACGAAGGATAGTCACTGCCCTATTTGTCTACTTAAATGTAATATTAAAAAATTCTGCAACTTGTTAACTTTCTATAATCCAGTTGCAATGACAACACCACCACGCCAGGTGTGTAATCCTGTGTCTACCGGTTAATGGAACCCCGGTTGCTGGTTGGCAGCTCGACTTCTTGCAATCTGTTACAAATGGTTTGGGTGAACAGATGCACCCACTGACAGTGACAGGCAGCTTTGGATGTCACATGCCATGGCAAGTGAGTCCAATGGACTGTTTGGTGAATCTGTTGAGTGCTGGTGTGAGCCACTACCTCTTTGGCGTGGCGCAGACATTCCTGCATCCATCGTGTCACGTATCACTGGATGGTACTCACATCGTACCCAACACACGGTAACGGCTCATCAACAAACTGAGGTCATGCAGTTCTAGGATATAATCTTGTTCTCCAGCTGTTAACTGGTGCTATTCAGCTCACCGTGGTCTCCAAAGCATTTTCTAAACTGCTTCAAAAATTTGGCTGCCACAAACTGTCGCTGATAACATTTGTGGCCCGAGCCAACTGCTGGTCTTTATAGCCCGAAACTGGCTACCACATGACCCAATGCATATTTAAAACTTCCATTTGTAAATTCAGTACAATGCAATATCCCATAGTCAATTTGTGGCTGCCATGCAGCATCCATTCTGCTATAGACAATGTTACTTAAGCATTAATTATTACATTTAAATTAATATGCCACAGCAATTGATGCAGCTGTTGTGTGCACTAAAAATATATTCGCCGTTCTACAGAATTTCACTCATCTGAACCAGACTTAAGGACAAAAGTAATATGCTATTATTGAATGTATTTTTTGTTAATATATCTTCTATTAAATGTTTATCTAAAGCTGTGTTCGGTATGTTATATAACAAGCTATTTTGATGATGTCATTAATATTTATATTCATTTTAATTATGCCAGTTTATCAAAGAATACTCCCCCCAGAAGTTCAAATAAAACATATAAAAATATTGGATTCAAAATGGAAAGACAAAGCCGAATTCCTCGGTACTTTCGGGTCTCAATTTCTAGATGATGATAAAACATTAAGACATAACCTATGTAAAAATTTAATCACAATCAAAGCAGTTTTAACTCCCGAAGATAATCCGGAGACCAAAAAATAATAGGGAATTGTGTTTTTTGTTCTATTTTGACTCCAATAAACTAAAGTTCTGAGCATAAAGTATTAGAATGTGCTATTAACGGAAAAGAAAATGGTCTTACAAAACTAGATTGATATTCTTTATCATATCTCTCAATCATAGTTTTGCTCCTCTTTATTTCATGTATAATTTAAAAAGATAAAACTATTATACAAGGTGTTACCATATTCAATAGTTTGGAAAAAAATTCTATAGAATCATTACAATATGCAAATATATTGTTACCGTAGGAATATAAAAAGAAAATGTAACCGAATAAATACGAAAAAGTCCATTCTTCTACTGCTAATGTTATATGTTATTTTCAAATACATAGGATATCCCAAAAGTTGGTTAACTGAGATGTTTTTAAAACTATTTTAAGAACAGTTAAAACTGAATTTTATTTTTCTCTAAATAAGAAAGCCTTTTTAATCATACCTATCAAAAGACGGCCAAGTGGCGAGAGCCTGGATCCGACATCTCCCAGATAATCGTCCCCGAAAAATTTCTATGGGTGTTTCGACTACTCCGTGACCTGGCTACGGAGCCGTCTAATTAAAACCGGTCTGGTATAGCCGCGCGTCATTAATCACTATTGTAAATTTAGTTATTTCCAACGAAACAATGTACAAACAGCATGCGGCTGTTCTAAATTAGTTTTAACTGTTCTTAAAATCTTACAATGTATTTTTATTTTAATTACTTTTTGTCTAATTGTAGAGAATTTCGTGACTTAAATTTTAAAATTCCTCTATTAAATCTTTTAGAATAATTTATTTGAAAATTTCCATATAATCCTGAAAATGTTATGCACAGTATATTAAAAAGCATTAACTCATAGAAATGAGAATGTAACAATTAATGATACTATATTATATACTTCCAAACTGATTGGAAATATTGAAAATACAATATAAATTTCATTAATTAATTAATTTTACAGTTATTAAATACCTTAATTATCCAGTAAAGTTTTGACCATGCATTTCCAACTTTCAATATACAAAGAACAGTTGTAAAGCACAGTACTTTTTTTCCTTAACATGTAAAAATACTCTTCATACTTGTTATAATTTTAATCTCGCAGGGACCGGAATTATTGAATTCGAAATGAGCTGGCGTACCAATTAAATAAATAATCCTGTTTGATGATAGTTTGTATGTTAACTAACTCTTGCCAAGGTTACATTTGTTTTTCCTGCTATTTTGTTTGTACAGTTTATCAACTCCCAATGTTTTATGCTTGGTTTAAGTCGAATTATCAAGGGGAATAATAATAATTGTTGTTATTGGTTGCGATGGAGAAATCCAGTAATTTAAAAAAGGATATTGTATTTAAAACATTCAATTTTAATGTAGACCTTGTCTTACTTCTCGTAACCAGTAGTCGGACGAGGCCCTTAAGAAGGCCAAGCCGCGGACGGTCGTGCCCACCATTTAACGAGGCCCCGCGGGTTAGGGCCTTATTCGGTTGGATTTTGAGATATGGTTAAAAGATTCGAGCATGTTCATGCGTTCATTCATTAACACTTATCGTCACAACACGCACGCGCGTGTTTGTGTGTGTGTATCTAGGGTGGCCCAAAAATCAGTTAACCGTACGTTGGGAGTGCGCACTCTCCGGTATACTTGTGAATATGATTTATAAATTACAATTGGCTAAAGTCAGCAACTTAGACTATACAATGGTTAACTGACTTTTAGGCCGTCCTGTATATATATACATATATACTGTATTTGTAAAATAATAAGTTATGCTTCTGCAAACGAATTGGAATATTTAGAAGTTTCTTATTTATACATATATATGTAATTCTTTTTTCTAGATGATGAACTAACGGCAGCAGGAGGACCAGGCCCAATGGATGTGCTGCAAACGAGGTAAATATTTACAGATAATTTACTAGGCCACAAATAAATTTTACTAAATCACAAATAAATCCTAGACATATATATATATTATATATTATAAGAATCAGATACTGTGTCACGGATATTTTATTACCTAGATAAATTATGAATCAGTAAAATAGCGAATTAAATCGATATTTTCCTTAAAACCTACGGGATTATATCTGTACCTTTATAAAAAAAACTACTAAGTATTTCGACTTTTGGTCCATCTTGTATAATTATAATTGCCATTCCTTAGCACTACTTCCTTTATAATTCCACAGTTACTAGTAGACTCTGGAAGAACAGTAAAGGTAATTTTATACCCGAACAGGCGCTCCTTTTTCATTTATATCTGTACCCGGTTTAAGGAACGTATCGCTTTTTGCTACCAAAGTTACTAATACAATTCTAATTTCAAATCATCCGATAGAGTGTAATACTGTTATACCACACCAATAGACTCTTCCGTAAGGGAAATGGTAAAAGGAAAGGGGAGAAACAATACTTTAGGGAATGCTTTCCCACGTGACAATGGCCAGACCCATTCTATGGCTTTTATTATTACTACTATTTCAAATACAGTGCTCTCTCTCGATAATTCGAACCAATTATTATACGAAGTCGTTCAGATTAACGGAGTCAGACGTGAAGAAAAGGGACTAAAGGGACTTGCGATTACGCGGAGTTCGAATTAGCCAGTGTGTTCCGTACTCGATTAGTGTATTAATTACAGTGGTATTATTAAATTAGTAAGTCATTATAGCTATCTCGCGTCGTATTTATAAGATAAAATATATATATATATATATTTCTATAGCCATTTTTCTTTTTTAAACAATGCTAACAATTTTACAGCTGTGCCATCCCAATCTCTCCTCGAAATACACCCGTTTGGACAGCAACTTGGGACACAACCAGTAGACACGCAGCCTCGCATCATTAAAAGTAATTTCGTTTTTAATGTTCACCATTTATTTTAATAAAATTAAATTTTTATTAATATAAAACTGTAATAGTAATTCGTTATATACATCATTAGGTATACTAAAATATTGTAAATTGGACTACGAGGACCTTGAAACGTCTAGAAATGCAAAAAAAATTAGGGTTTTTTCTGTATGTTAATGTGTGAGGGGACACGATTTTCTTCACCCTGTTTGAAGCTCGGATACGTCAGACCTCATTTCTCACCATCCGGCTGTCTACATTGCTGGCCTGGCCGAACCCACGATGGGTATAATAAAATAGGCCCTCTTAATGGCCAAAGGGTCGGAGAGTTAAAGTTTCTCTCTTCATTTTTTAACCCTCCACTCCGTGGCCGCTAAGAGGGCCTTTTAGCAAGCTCATTATAGGTTCGCTCAGGCCCACAATGGGGCGATCGTGTGGTGAGGGACCGACCACCCCGAAAAATGGAGTCTCACGGGATGATAGGTCGCCACTTCAAAGTGTGTGAAGTTTAAAGTAAAAAGAATTTCTGGCATTTTAGAATAATGTTAGGCATCGTGTCATTCAATAAAATAATCAAATTACTCTGAAAATACCTCTGATTATTTCAGAAATTTTCGACAAAAAAAGGAGTTAAACTTCAAACAGGGTGAATAAAACAGTGCCCTACACACATATCCATACACAAACATACATATATAGGGGAACAAAACCCGAATTTTTTGCATTTCTCGACATTTCGAGGTGTCCCGAGCACACGGTATGTAAGCATTTAACACGCGCGAAGTATGCAGTTTAATACGAATAAGCTTATTAATACAGTACAATAGAAATGTGCTTAACACTATAGCGTTGTCGAATTAAATAAATATTTACACGTTTTTTTTTTTCTCTCTCTCTCTCCGCAGCCCTTGGAAACGTGGCCGAGGACTCGTCTCTGAAATCATCTAAAGCCAAAAACACAAGTTACTAATTCAGATGTGATCTGTATCGCCGAACTAACTTATTTATTACTGTCTTCTGATCCGAAAACAAAACGGTGATACCAACGTGTCGACTCTGCTGCACGATGGCCACGGTGTGATATAGACTCCTATCGGTTGTCCATTTTATTGTTATATCTGCATGTGGATATATTCAACGTTCATAAAAAGTAATCACAACTTCAAATCACCGGGTTTTACCATACAAAACTGGAGATACCACGTGAAAGAATCGAGAAGATGGACGAGGTCGCTTGCTCAATATGCCGAAATATTTTGGAGCGTTCTGCTCACGTCTCAATAATAGTAATACTTTATGTGGTGGCTTGCTTTTTATTGGTGCTCCGTGTGTTGTCTCTTCTTTTTTCGGAAATAGTTGGAACGTATATATATATATATATATACCCAAAGAAGGTGTGTGTGGCAGAGAATAACGAGTGAACTGTAGATAAACAGGAGCCCAAGGCTCCGATGATGGAAGAGACGGTTTTCAAATAAGACAGAAAACTGTTTTCAAGGCATTGTTTAAAACATATGCTTTTTGTATTTGTACACAAAATTGTGGTTCTCAACTCGGACAGATCACTTAATGATTCACAAATGACAGTGCCATGGCTGTAAGTCAAATCGATTTTTAAAAAACCCTCGAGGTTGTCAGTAGTAATGTATTGGTAATTTGTGATGTACAGAAACTTACTTGTGTGTAAACGTGTTTATGTACTCGTATCAGATTTTCAGGCTGTTAAATGCCAAAAACTCCAAAGAGATTAGTATCCCCAAGTGTAGTTCCTATGATTTCTTGTACAGTACGTTTGGCAGCATGTGTCGATTGATAGAAGGAAAACCAGTGGGATCTCAGACTATGTAGAAGCTACCAACTGTGATGACGAGACAAATCATGGTGCTGGTATCTGTTTTCGCTAAGTATTTACGTGTCTCATAATTCATGTGATATGCCAAGCATTCATCTAGAACAGCAGTTGATTTCAAAGAACAGTTTCTCACTTTCCAAAAAATGATCTGGCCATTAGAAATACAAACATACAATGTATTCACTTTTACAGTGTTTTTGAAAGCTTATTTGCAGAGGAATCTTTAACGGAACATTTTACATCTTCTATAGAACATGATTTGACTATTTAGTTTCTAAAGCCATACCGTTAGATGAAATTTTCATAGTTTTTCATCCATGTATTTGCACGTATGGTAATCGTGAGTTGTGAATCTATTTTTTGAATTTTCACTTGCACATTTGTAGCTGTGATCTAATAAAACACCATTCCAATTTAACCTCTCGTCTTTTTCTTCTTTATACCTTTATACACAAACATGCAGATTTTTCTCGTGGGTGGGTTAACCCGGATACGTCTGCCCTGTTGTAAGCCCGGCCGATTCCATGATGGACAAGAAAATTTTAACTCCTCGGACAAAAGGTATATTATTCTGTTACAGTACAATACCTGGTCCAAACAGGCCTAATAAAGATTTAAGGCTAAATTGGTTAACCCTGTTAAACATTTATCCTCACCGCAGAAATTAATTTTGATCGTATTGCAAGTATAGCTAGGCACGAGTGAAGTAAAGGTGTATTCGGTACTGTGTGGGGGGTGGGTCAAAGAAACACCGAAACGTTCTGTAAATGCCGTATTGAAATAAATCTTTTCATTCTCTCAAATTACCAATGTTATAGCTGTGTTGCTCTAAGCAAAAAAATTCGAAAAACTTCGCCTTGTGGGCACTAAGAGGGCCTTTTCAGTAAGCCCATTAATGAGTTTGGACAGGCCCACAATGGAGAGACAGTTAGTGAGGATGGACAACCACTAGAAATTCCTGTGGTTTATTCGATCCATAACCTTTAATAACCCCCGTGCTTTTTGTCAAAACCTCTTGAAATTTAAAGGAAGGTTTATGTATTAAATTTTGGTGGTTAAAGGTCAAAGGATGAGGAGATAAAGGGGATCGTGTGTTGTATCTCCGGTGTGCTCAGACTTAATGATTTAACTCGTTATTATCATTTACAAATTTTAATAAAACCCATCCCTACCCTCAAAATTAAGCTTTTTGCCATTTTATAACAGTTTAAAATATAAGTTTTTTTTTAATAAAATATCATAACAGATGGCGCCACCAAATGTCGCCGGAAAAGTTAAGCGACTCGTTACTAAAAATTAGAAAATAAAGTTAGGATTTAAAATTTATTTAAATAATTGAATATATTTTAGATGAAAATTTTGATTATTTTCATAGATCATTGATGAAATTCAATAAAATAAGTAAATAAATCTGGAGATTATAGACCAATTTCCCTGTTATTTGCACTAGGGAAAGTAATGGAAAAACTGCTTGATAGAAATACAGTCGACCCCCATATAACGCTGCTGATAATTCCGCGTTATATGAATTCCATGCTGTACGAGTCACTTGGATTTTACAAATACGTGTGCCGGGCTGTGAACGGCTCACGTATTTGTAAAGTCTAAGTGACTCGTACAGCATGGAATTCATATAAAACGGAATTATCAACAGTGTTATAGGAGGTCGACTGTAAATATGTTTTAGGACTTAGTATAGACATTAAGAAGGCATTGGACAGTGCGTGGTGGCCACTGATTCTTTATAGACTCAGTGGACCACATATATTGAGAATATTTGTAAGAAAACAAGGTTAATCTTTCAATCTTTCTCTAAAGTCGCTAAAAGCAACTGGGGGCTTGACTCTCGTGTATGGACTCAATTTATAACATATTTATTCCAATAATTACCTATGCCTGCCCAGTTTGGGAAGAAGCCACTCGTAAAATACATAATAAAAAAGGAAACTAATATCAGGCCAAAGGAAAGAACAATTCCTATTAACAGCCTTCAGATAAGTGCTAGAAAAGCCCTCGTGGATCCAGAAATACCACGCATTAAAATGGAAACTGAAACACGATAACGACATCACCATCGGGGATGAGACTTAAAAAAGACCCTTAATGGAAGATCCCTTAAGCACTTATCCAGAACCCAAGTAAAAGAAAATATTTTTACTCTGAACCATTGACAGGTAATCATATAGACGTATACACTATTGTTCAACAACGTTTCCCTTTCCTAATATAAAGAATTAGTCAAAACTCTTGTTCGAACCCACCCCGGACACTTCTCCCACCCTTGAAATTAGGTGCAGGTGTTAATAAATTAGACCAGCAACAAAGGAAATTCATTTCAGTTTGTTGGAAAATGTTCGAAAAACGAAAGAAATGCAATGTGCTGTCGTTAGAAGATCGTGTGAAAATGGTTTATCGCAACGGCAATTAGCGTGGGAAAATGAAATTTATTTTACCGTAGACCTACAGTATTTTCCATATGGGTATTATATTTTCCATATGGGTAAAATATTGTACACGATACAATTAATCGGCTGCGCCAACGTCCACCACGATCTGGTCGTGGCATTGAATGTCAACCTGGATAATAGAGAGGTTGCTGCCGACGTTTTCATCTGTAAAACGTCAACGTCGAACGTCGAGTGCCTATCTTGTAAGAGGCGCTCGACGTTCGACGTTCACGTTTTACAGATGAAAACTTAGGCCGCAACCTCGCTAGTGTTCATGCACTGCTTCCTATATATGAGCCGTCCAATAACATCTCACCCTGCCACCCTAGTGTTAGGACTAGAAACCTACATCCTGCACACCGGTCGTTTTCAGCTATTAAATCTGTCTTATAAAATCACGACGACTCCTGTAAATCGAGTTATCCGATAAGAATGAAATACAATACCAATATAGCCCTATCGTTGAAAAAATTCGCTTACTTTTGCTCACCTCGAGTTTTGGTTTTTAGTAAAAATGGCTAAAAAGTGCGCAAAATACGTACGGAAATACGTTATTACAGGACCACCTGTATTGGACGACCACTTGCCTAAAAGACCACTTTTTGAAGGAACCACGAATAGTCGCAATAGACAGGTTTTACTGTATATAACTATCACAGTTTAACCTAAATTCACCAAACTCGGTAAAAATATAAAGCAACTCTCTGGCTTTATTTCCAAAACACAACACCCAAAATGTCACAATACTTTTTTGTTTTAAGCGTCAGAGGCGAAAGTCGACATTTTAGTTTTTTGATTATATCTTATCTCAGAGTTAATTATATATTTTATAAATTATTTTATGCACATGCCAGGATTTCACTGAACATTTGACACCAAAATAATCGGAATCTAACGTGAAATATTTTTTAAAAAACTCCGAAACGAAACCGCAAAAGTCATCCAGAAGCCTGAGCTCGCTTACTGCTCATAATATATACTCCGAATGACACCATTGGGACCTTCACAGAACTGCAGAGCATATTAATAAGAACAAAAGTCATAGGAACCATACTTGTAAGGGCAACTTTTCGCGAGACACGACCCGAAAAATTACTGTGTGGCATATTCCTACGCTTATTTTTCTATCTCCAAACCCCCTCACGCCCGAATAACTATATATTTCTTTTCAAAATCATTACTCAGTGAGTCTAGATGATATATATAAAGAAAATTTCGAATAAAACATAACTTACAGGTTTAAGCCAAGTCTTTTATCCTTTCTTCTATACCAGGGCGAGACGTTCCTCGTGTTCAGTATGTAGATTAGATAACCAGTCAAATTATGAAAATAATTCATTTGATTTTAATAAAAAAAACTTTCCAAACGGGAAGATTTGAAGCTCCCTTCACTAAGCAAACAGTTTGTTAGTAGATACATCTGACTTCATAAGAGGGGGTGGAAGGAGGTATACGAGATGTATGGATCCTTGATTATTAACATTGATTCGTCCAATAATGAATAAGAAATTAATAATTAATTTTATCATCGTTTGACTGAATAATAATACTGTAGATCCATTTTGATTCGTTCTCTATTTCCCCATAAAGGGAGGCGATTATCCCGCCATGTATTAGCCGTGGTTAATTATACTTTTGAATTTCAATTGTTAGTGAAATATGTTTGTTCGTTTTCTTTATAACTTTTGAGGGAGGAAAAATGAAGTTTTTGGAGTAGGGTCTTCGAACAAAGACCTACAAATAAAAGAGAGAGAAGAGGAAAGATGAAGAGGTGAAAACATTTCTCCTTCACTAACTTCTAGATCCTTCAAATGCAGAACATTTGAAGGATCTAAAAATTACTGAATTGTCCCTTGATTTCTGGAGCATCCCCAAATACCGAAAGGATCCAAAAACCAATGGATTTTCATCTGATTCCTCGAACTTACAAAAAATTTAATGGTTAATGGACTTCCTTCAGAATCAATCGTCTTTTCGGATACAATTCTGATAGACTATACATTGTGAGTATTTTACTGCACCCAAAAAAAGGTGAACTTTCCGAGATGAGGAATATCCCGTATGCCGAGCTAAATGCTAATTCAGCCGCTCTTCACCTCACCGAATAAAGGAAAATCTTGTTACAACACGCGATAAGCATGCTAATAGTGCCATAAATAGTGCCCTGTGCACACTTTTATGCCACTTCTTTGTACGTTACTCCGTGTAATTAATAAAATACTATAAGGTTCGGTAACTCATGCTGTGTATTATTTCTGAAAGATGCGTGAAGTTATGAGTTACGTAATTTCGGGGATAGATATGTGCCGAAGAGTTTAGTAGTGTTACAGGGGATGATAGTTAACAAGTATGAGAATAGCATTATGTAATTTAAGGGCGATCCCACGCGTGTTAACACTGCTATAGATGATCGTGATGACCTGATAATCAGAAACTATATCTAAATATAATCGTTTATTATGAAATATTATGAAAATACTTCCTATATTTTTACAGCAACATCCAGTGATATTTACTGTAAATAAAACAATACGAATGCCTTTTCTCGAACACTACAACATATTGAAAAAAAAAGAAAGAAAAATCCAGCAGGTAGTTGCATGACTTTCCAGGCAAAAATTTGAACTAGTGTGTAGCGCCATCTGTTATGATATTTTATTATTAAAATCTTTTTAAATTATTATATAATATATGTAGAATGATATAAATTAATAAATATATAATTAAATTAAGTGAGAATTAGACTTTACCTATTTGTTAACGGGTACATACAAACTTTTAATCTACAGTAGAGCATCGATTATCCGTATCAATTGGGGACTGGAGTTGTTCGGACTTATCCCGTGTTGAAATTCGTTCAAATCCTGGCACGTCCTTAAATACCCTCTCATGGTAGCACCGGTGCTGCCAGCTAAAACACGCACACCAAGAAAAATAATATTGGAGTAGCCCAATACTAGTTCTGCCGTTTCTAATGTAATTTCAACCTCTCAGGGTAATGTTTAGGGTAGTGTTATATTTAGGGTAATCTTAAATCTAGGGTAAAACAGAGGTGCCGTCGGGATAGTCACACCAGAAGCAGGCGGCAACACTGCCGAAAACATAGCCAAATATTGCAGGGACACAGCACTAGCGGAAATTTAAATTTGCAGACTGGAAAGCTTTCGGTTAATTGACGTTTCGGTCGATCGATGCTCTCTACTGTATTCTATTTTCGTGTTATCGTGTGTTATAAAACTTACAGATAAATATTAACACCAGTAAAAGTTCATATTCGCCTGGCTTTTGATATCCTGCCGTGTTAAAACATGGAATACACTTACACTGTTGACTTACCTTATAAGTGTGATTAATATTTCTTTGATATCCGTTTTAAATAACCGACTTATCTTTTAAATATCCATTTTAGATAATACAATACAATAGATCCCCCCCTATAATACTGTAGATGAATTCCGTGTTGTACGAGTCGCTTAGATATTACAACATGGAATTCATATAACGCGGAATTATCTACGGTGTTATAGGGGGGATCTACTGTATTTCGTTTCCGAAATCTTTCCTCCTAGAAGAATCAATGTAAAGAAGAGAAAACAGGTAAAAAACACTCTGATTAACTGTCGTGCATACATTTTATTAAGACAGTTATAAGAGAGACGAACAGACAACGTCAGTCAATTTACACAGAAAATACACGGATGTAAAAGTGTTGGCACTCTCGATCGGATGTTTTTTTATTGTATAACTGATGTACAAATAGAGCAACGAAGCCGACAAACGAGACGGTGTACGTCGTCACCGAAGAAAAGAAAAATGAAAGCCAATAAAGCAAAAAAAGGCACGGAGTTCCATAAAGGAACATCTCAAATTCCGAAGAAGAAGAAGAATCGAGGAGCTCCTTTATGAAAGACAAGACCTCTTGTTATTATTTTCTTTTAAATATCTCTTTTTATTTTTTGGCAAATGATCGGAAAAAACTCCGCGACAATCCATAGGGATGGCCGAAAAATACTGTTTTTGCAAAGAAGATGGACAGAATGGCTAAAACGAGAGTGAATCTTCCACATAAACCTTCCAGCTGATCGGGATCGAGACGGCACTTAAAAACTCACAAATTGGATGGATATGCGAACGAAATTTCGGCAGCGAAGATTAAATTCTCTCTTTTTATAAAAGTAGAGCTCGAATGGATATACAAAATATTCTTCTTGACTTTGATGAGCGCTCCATGTATCAAATATAAGGTCTGATCGAATGTATTATACATTTTTTTTTTTTTTTTGCTTTTTTTTAAATATATTTTTAAACCAGAGCAGAAACTAAAAAGAGGGCAAACGGACAGTCTGCGATTTGGCACCGAATGAGCTTGCCCGCAGTCTAATAAGAAATAAAGGGGATGAGGCAGGACCAGATGTGTGCTGATGGATGCAGATTGTCTATCCACAGAGAGAGACGGAATGCACAATTGAAAGACCCAAAAACAGTTTGCTTTTTCACACAAATAAATATCACAAAGGCTTTTCGAAGCTTCGGAATGTTTCTACTACCTTTTTCTTTTTCTTTTCCATTCCTCCTCCAGAAATTTAAGAAAATACAATATTTTTTGATCAATAAAATAAGTATTCTCCGGAATTAATCCTTAACAGTTTACACTGATTCTCCTCAGCCAGCGAGAGGAGGGAGTGATTTTTTTTCCTCTTTTTCTCCTTTTTTAAGTGCTCGAACTTTTCCTGAAAACATTTTTTTTATTTAAAAAATAGGAACTTGTAAAATACTGTTATTTCATGTAAATCGGAGATTGGAACTTCTCCGTGTTTCCAGACGGCCTCAGACGTGAACGTAACCAAACACACGTGCGTGGCACGATGGATAAGTTATCACGTCCCTCCCGGGGCCATCCTATTGGAGATGAGAAAGAACAAACAAAACATTAAAGTGCGCAAGGGAGCACGATACCGTGCGTGACGTAACCCAATATCGATCGAGCCAATACGATAATTCATATAATAATAATAAAACAAAGGGAAAAGAAATTCAAATTTCCGAACTTTGTGCTAGTAAAAGACGAGATTTTGGCACTGCTAGAGACAAAAATCGGTTGACCTTGGCATAGGGTCATTGACTAATATCATTTTTTTTTTTTTTATGATAGAGAGATACTGTTGGGTATTGTTCCTCGAGATCAGGGATAAAGGATCGGAACTATATCTTTTTTCCTCTATGTTTTCCTAACATCAGGATGTGGCTTTTTTTTTTATAGTTAAAACATCTAGTCCTATACCTACTGGCGGGGTACTTCTGCCTACCGACAGATATTCACTCATACGACAAGAGAACGTTCGAATGTGGAATAACTACAACGAGTTGAAGGCAGGTTAAACTGCTCAGACTTATCTCGGATATCGAAAAGAAAAAGAGGCCTCCCGACCTCTTAGTTCGTTGCACGTCGAAAGGCATTTTATAAAGGATCGCTTTTCAGTCTGACATTTTAGTGAAATCACAGATCGATGCTTCTACCTCTATCCCGTACTTAACTAGAGCTAACGGTTTCTGGTACACGGTATTTCGGAAAGTGTCCTTCAGAGACGATGATCAGAAAGGATGATGATAAGGATGGTTAGAAGCACGGCTAGGTAAAAAGGGAGTCCCGATGTTTGATACCAGAACTGCAAGAGTGGTGACAGTGATTGTGGAGGGATTGTCTGGTTATGTTGGCCATGGTACATCCCATAGAGAATTCCACTAGCCTGAAAACAAAACAAATGATTTATAACACTACCAGATGCAATTCATAAGGATTAACCAGTAGCCATGCAACATCAAAATAGAATTTTATTATTATTTTACCTGCAGATTGTTTGAAAACAGAACCAGGGAATTACTTGGGCTTTTTTCTGACGACAGAATAGCCCGTGAGGTCCGAATACACCGTAAATTTGTAGCAAACAAAGTATGAATCCCAACAAAGCTGTTAACACCATTTTCCTCAGTAGTTTCTCCACTCTGCTACGTCTGCTCGGTTTCAGTTTATGGGCATCGAATCTGAAATCGTCACCAATGGCTTGTCCGTTCAACCTGTAAAGAAGAATACGTATTCAGAGGAAAACAATGGGTTAAAAAAAAAGCGAAAACATTTTACCGTATGGATTGCTGAAGTAATTTGTTAGCCTTAACCGCCGTCGCCGTCTGATCCATAGTAGTTTCTTCGATCTGAGACGATACGACGTCACAACGACCCGCATCACGCATCGACTGAAACGTAACAAAAGCTGCATGAAAACCATTTGTCGAGCAACGAAACAGAGAGCAGAAAATGCAAACCATCAAGGGTTGAAACTGTAACGCATCTTCTATCTGGTGAGAGGATGTAGAAGCAGTGTTAATATGTACCACGTCACCACTCGGAGGTTTCTTCCTGTGCCAATTACTCGGGTGCCTTATGTGATCGTGTGGCGATTTGACCAAGTTCTTTTGATAATGGTGTAGGGAAGGACTGTTTGGCGAAGTGACATGTCCTGGGGCTAAACACGTACAAGTCGTCAATTCTTACAGTAACGACAGAACACACAAAGGATAATAATACTTACTATTTTCTGTCAGGTTATGCTGAGACGCGTCGCTCACATAGCTAAAAGTCTGGTCGTTTTCGTCAGTTATTCGGATTTTAGGTGCAAATGACGAATTTCCCGCTTTGGTTCTTCCGTTTGACGATGTCTTGGATCTCCTGGCGAACATTCCTAATGGTAGTACGCCTTTGTTTTCGTAACTGGAAGAATCGACTTTTGACAAAAACACCAGAGGAAGTTTGGCGATAGAACGCAGCAGTCGGAGACAACCGCACAGGAACGTCAGGCACAAAAATATCCCCCAAATCGAGAACATAACTTGAGTTAGAAGCCAAACGATCTAAAATATATCGAAAATACTAAATTAAATATCCGTATTCGTAAAGATTTTATTATATTAAATGTCTAGACACTTCTATACATTCGTCAGAACGGTGAGAAATGAGTTTTAAAAAAATTACACGTCCAGACAATCAGACGAATGAATCATATTAAATACTAAATTGGAAAAATAAAATGAAATTTATTTAATTTTTTTTTATATCTATTCTATTAATTTATTTAATAAACTTTACATTTAATTTATTACTTTGCTGATTAACGAAACAATTTTTTGACGTGGTAACCCAAAAGTCAGTTGACTCTTATAAAAACTAACGTCTTATTCGAATATTTCGGTACTTGTACAAGTGTACAATACGTGGAGCACAAAAACAAAATATGGTTAACCGACTTTTGGACCTCCCTGTATTACTTGGTTTTCTACATAGTGGATCATTAACACCCGTATATAACGCTATAAGTACTGTAAAGGGAACACTGAAGAAATGTAACCCAGCGCATCGCGTAGAGTTAGCGCGGTATAAGCTGTCTGAGGGGCTTTAGTAGCGCTATAGCGATCTATATATTATAATGGCTGGCTTTACCAGATTCTTCCGAAAAGGGATGTGGCCCTCAGATTGAAAAAAAAGGTTCCTCACCTCTGGCCTATGTCGGATTAAATGTTAATTATCCAATCCATGCTAAATTAGCCTAGTACTAACTTTTTTTTTAAATTTATCAAATTAGAAACTTAAATTCATTATATCGGAACTTCTAATTAATAATTATTATCGAACTTTACACCTAAAAAGGCCCTATGATTTGTTTCTTTGTTTTGAATTTATGATCACGTCTATACTCCGCCGTAAAGACGACTACAAATTGTGTCAAAAATGAGGGTCAAAGACGCTTCGGGACCACAATTGTAAAGGGCCTCAAATGAATTTCAGTTGATTGTTGCCCATATTTATGCCTCCTGGCAACGTAAAGCATACTCAAGGTCGGATAACGATCGTTAAGTTTTAATTTTTTCAATACGTCCCATCAGTGCCGTAACTAGGCAGGTGCAACGGGTGCACCCGCACAGGGCCCACTTGGAAGGGGAGCCCAAAATGCGTGTATCCGTTTTATTATTTTCCCAAAACTAATTAATTAACGGGCCTAATTGCAAATTCTTGCACTGGGCACAAGATAGCTAGTTACGACACCGCATCCCATAGTAAGAGCCTAGAAATTTTTTTTTTTCGCCTAGGGCCCCGGTATTATTCGTAACGAAGATAATCTATTGATATAGATAAAAATAGAAAATAATTCTTCACGTACTCGTTTGCCTAATTGATTCTTAAGATTAATCGAAGCTATTTTAATTACATCCATTTCTATGATTATTCTAAATCCAGGTACGCAGGAAGGTACAACGTACAGATGACAGAACTGTCAGCCACCTATTTGGGTATACCGGTACGTGTGTACCGGCTTAAAGACTTCACACCGGACAGAACTGCTTCGCAAAGTACAGTCGACCCACCTATAACACTATTGATAATTCCGTTTTATATGAATTCCATGTTGTACGAGTCACTTAGATTTTACAAATACGTGTGCCGGGCTGTGAACGGCTCACATATTTGTAAAATCTAAGTGACTCATACAACATGGAATTCATATAAAACGGAATAATCAAGTGTTATGGGGGTCGACTTGTATGTTCACCCATTGTTACTTCTGCGCCATGTTTGCCTGTTTGATCAATTCCTTTCTATTATATAAGCATGATTCTCATTCATGTACGCTTTTTTTTGTTACGCAACGTAAAACTATTACATTTTCCTGTATTAAAACATAAAGGAAAACGTACATTTCTTGCTACTTTCGGTATAAAATTAATAGTATTAATAATGAAAGAAATTGGTTCCCGTTTAAAAATTTAATAACTAGAGAATTAAATAAATATTGATCTGTACGTATTCCAATTACTATCTTTATGATATTAATAATTCAAAAATGTCCTTAGTGGAATTACATTGCAATTTTTCATTATTTTTTTTACTTGTTTAATTTTTAAATTTCATCCGACGAATATAAATATATAGATGCTTATTTTTATGTGTCAAATATATAATATCAGCATTAAAATATTTAGTTATATAACGATAAAAATTCTACAATTTGTTAATTAAACCTTAATTAAACAAATACATTAGGTTTTGTGTATTCAAAATGGTTTCAGAAGTGGGGCTACCGGGTTTTGAAGGAGGAGCAATGGAATTAAATAAAACACCAAGTGTTTGAGTGTTATAAAGCAGGGATCGAGTAAGACAAACTTTATGATACTGGGAGCATTCGTTTTCTGCTCCCTTTAGCTACGTTACCATTGTTGTTTGTTAAGTTACGCCAACGTGACACTTCGGCGATGCCTTCAGGGAGGTGTTTTTTAAGGGAAACAGGCCCCTATTTAGGCGTTACAGACGTGGAGAAAACCCGGAAAACTCCAATGTCGTGAACCCAAGACCAAACTCCCAGCGTTCGGGGTACGAAGACCGCGTGACCACTGGCGGGCACTGCTACCTTACCGAGCATTACCGACTTATTATAACACTTTTAGGGACCTCAAAGGCACATAAATCTATGCTTTCTGATACTTATCCTTAAGCTATGATACTAGTGCATTGTATATCAAGTGACATGCGATAAGGATATTATATAAAGGGGTGGATTGCAAATCCACACAGTATCTAGTATCTCGTCTACCATTGCTCCACATTAAATTGTTCCTTACCGACTATACTTTAAACATTTCTAAATCTCTTTTAGAGTTTTAAATGAAACACTGACACGCAGAACTTTATTACGAGCTTAAAAAAATGGAAATAATACATTGTTTTATTGAGCGTTAAACAATACGAAGTTAGAAATAACACTGAAATAGCCACGAAGTTTCTGATAAGTGATAGAATTAAGTATAATGTTTTCTACATCAAGAAAACGTATAAAATCTCTAATTCAGCAGGAAACGTTTGAAAACAAAACACAGGAAGCTTGTGTTTTTCTTTCTTTTCTGTTTGTTTGTATGCTTTAAACATAAGCTACACCATTAAAATCATTTGTAAATCAGAAATATTAACATCCTTTCAGTTAGTTTTACTTACAGTATCTAATAATAGAATCTTACGAATAGTTTAGTGGTATTTTTTCTTTACTAGAAATAACAAATAATTAATTATTTACAAGTTTAGTTTAAAAAGTAAGATTAGAATTAATGCAAATTTAATTTACATTAACAAAAATTTGCTGTAAAACAACAAAATTATAAATTACACGTACCGTACCGTACCGTACAGTACATTAGACAAGTTAGCACTAAATTATATCGAATTATCCTTCTTAAATAATATAAACAGTTGCAAATTGGTCTAATTTTTTATATTCCCCATCTTCTTCCTTGATTTATGATCTTATTATACCGTATATAACCCTCTAATTTCATATATTATATCATCTAAACTAATACAGCTGTATTAGTTAAACACGTATACGAGGACGTATATATGTGTATAGAATTAATATATACATCGAAATTAATAATATAATTATATTATAAATTGTAAAAAGGGGTTTTAAAACTTAATAATTACATAAAACTAATTGTATATTTCTTTTACTAGAAACTTATACAATTAAACAAATACATTAGGTTTTCTGTATTGAAAATGGTATCAGAAGTGGGGTTTTTGAAGGAGGAACAATGGAATTAAATAAACACCAAGTGTTTGTTTGAGTATTTAAGTGTATTATTACAATACAGACAGGTGTAATTTATCTTCTATTTTACGACGTTTGAATCATCTAACGTTTTATACAAGTGTGTAGGGCCTATATATTGATACATATAGAATTACATTGATAAATCTTTTGTAATTTTTCTTATTATCTTCTCTAAAGAAAGATTTTTACAATAATTCAATAAATCATCGATTTTTTCCTTTCCTTTTTTAAGCGTTAAATCTCCATTATGCAAAATTAATTAAACGTGCAAAAAAATATACCTAACGATTTATAGCTTATTCGAGTAATCAGAAGGAATATTTTTTTCTTATATATATATTCTTAAGATAAGGAAAATATTATTACGTGATTATGTCTTACAAATGTTTAAAAAATCTATTAATTTGAATTATATAGAATTTTCTGTCCCGTAAAATAACTTTTATAGAAGTTCTTTTTAAAATATTCTAAATTGTGAATTGTGGGAAATGCATCTACACCCTAATTTTAGATATGAAAATTTTAGTTTGTGTGCAGTTCTATACGTTCTTATATATAAAAATTATAATTTGTATTTCAGAAATTCTTGTAATTCCTATATTTTTCCTATGTTCTTAATAATCTATAGATAAATAAATTCCTACATTTTCTATATTCCTTCCTATATTCTTCCTATGTTTTCTGTATTCCCTCCCTATATTCTTCCTACGTTTCCTGCATTCCCTTCCTACCTATTCTCTTTATATTCCCTCCATCTATTCTTCCTATGTTTTCTATATTCCCTCCATTTATTCTTCCTACGTTTCCTGCATTCCCTTCCTACCTATTCTCTTTATATTCCCTTCCTACTTGATCTCTCTATATTCCCTCCATTTATTCTTCCTACGTTTCCTGCATTCCCTTCCTACCTATTCTCTTTATATTCCCTCCCTACTTGATCTCTCTATATTCCCTCCATTTATTCTTCCTACGTTTCCTGCATTCCCTTCCTACCTATTCTCTTTATATTCCCTCCCTACTTGATCTCTCTATATTCCCTCCATTTATTCTTCCTACGTTTCCTGCATTCCCTTCCTACCTATTCTCTTTATATTCCCTCCCTACTTGATCTCTCTATATTCCCTCCATTTATTCTTCCTACGTTTCCTGCATTCCCTTCCTACCTATTCTCTTTATATTCCCTCCCTACTTGATCTCTCTATATTCCCTCCCTATATTCTTCCTACGTTTCCTGCATTCCCTTCCTACCTATTCTCTTTATATTCCCTTCCTACTTGATCTCTCTATATTCCCTCCCTATATTCTTCCTACGTTTCCTGCATTCCCTTCCTACCTATTCTCTTTATATTCCCTTCCTACTTGATCTCTCTATATTCCCTCCCTATATTCTTCCTACGTTTCCTGCATTCCCTTCCTACCTATTCTCTTTATATTCCCTTCCTACTTGATCTCTCTATATTCCCTCCCTATATTCTTCCTACGTTTCCTGCATTCCCTTCCTACCTATTCTCTTTATATTCCCTTCCTACTTGATCTCTCTATATTCCCTCCCTATATTCTTCCTACGTTTCCTGCATTCCCTTCCTACCTATTCTCTTTATATTCCTCCCTATATTCTTCCTATGTTTCCTATATTCCCTCCCTATATCCTTCCTACATTTCTCAATTCCTACTAAGAATTGAACTGAAAGATTCTTTAACACACCAAAATGAACTAAAAAAAAAAATTAACTTTATTATTTACTTAATCATTCAATGAATAAATTAGATTGTCGTTATTAAAATTTCCATATTTGATTATAATTTATTTATTCAACAATTAATTAATTTTTTCCTACTTTACCACAAGAAAAAAATAAAAATAAAACCGTTAAATTACGAACCTTTCTTCTGAAGAAAATCGAAGATTAAATAATAATCAATGAAAAAAATCATGTAATTATAGATAAATTTCTATCATTATTTTTCGAAAAAAGGACAAAAATAAGACAGAACGATAATTATGTAGGTCATACAGTGTTTTTTTTTTTAATTAAAGAAGAACATTCCAACAACTTAAATTTACTCCAGACTTAAAAAATTTGACAAATGCCATCGACTACACCTTTCAAACATAGCCGTTCACATATAATAGGTCAATTTACAAGTCCTTTGACAGGGGTAGAATACGTGACTAGAATAACACAGAATACCTCTGTAATGGTTACCGTCTGAAACAGAACGTACTTCACTGTTTACTGGCTGCGTTATTGCTTTAACTACTTTAATACAACCAATTAATGGGCACGAATATTATTGATAATTAATCTGGAAGCATTTTGTTATTCGCTTTTCCACGCAAACCAGAGATACGTTACGTTTATTGAACCAATCGATAAAGTGATACTACACTTGCAAAATTCAGATACATAATTACAAAATATCGATTACTGAACGTCTTACATAAATAAGACTTAAGTGGAAAAATATTGGAATTTAGAAAAGAAAGAAAACGATTTTTTTCTCCCTCTACGATTTTTAGTGTTCCGAGAAGTTTGTTGACGTTTCCCTCCCATTTTTCTTAATCCCCCCTCATAATATTGACTTTCGAGTTACTTTAAATTAGAAAGGAGTATGGTAAAACCTTTCTAGTGGTTCTATGTAAAGGCAATGGCACGTTATAGCTTGGTAAGGCCCGGGCGAGTTTGAATTAAGGGCCTCACGTACAGTGTTGACTTCAGGCATTTATATTCAAATGCTTACATTTTAGCGAAATTATTTAAATAGTCTAATCTCTACCGCTTAATAAATGGGTACATTAAGCAGAAAAGGACAATAAAATAACCTATTTTAATTGGTTAGGTTAAGTTAGGTTAGGTTAGGTTAAGTTAGGTTAGGTTAGGTTAGGTTAGGTTAAGTTAGGTTAGGTTAGGTTAGGTTAAGTTAGGTTAGGTTAGGTTAGGTTATATCCACCACCGATTAACCAGCCAACAACACCTATGTCAGATGCAGAGCCTACAATTGCAGAAGTGAAGGCAGCCATTGGATCGCTGAAGATTGGCAAAGCTGCTGGACTAGATCTGATCACTACAGAAGCAATCAAGGCTGGTGGTGACATTCTGCACCATCGTCTTTATCTACTCATTAAAACAATATGGCACACAGAACAAATACCAGCCATATGGAAGAAAGCTATCATCGTGCCAATTCACAAGAAAGGCGATAGCCGGGATTGCAGTAATTATCGCGGTATCAGTCTCGTTTTTATCGTTGGCAAAGTATTTATGAAGATAATTCAATCAAGGTTACAAAAACACCGTGAAGAAATAAGCCGAGAAGAACAGGCAGGGTTTCGTCCTGGTCGTAGTTGCTGCGATTAAATGTTTGCCATGCGTCAGCTTATTGAGGAAAGGACCAGATGCGGCAAACGTACTATTGTCCTGTTCATCTATTTCAAATCTGCATTCGACTGTGTGCACAGGCCTGCGCTATGGAGAGCATTTAAGAATGAGCATGTCCCACAAAAAGTTATCACACTACTTAAGGAAGCCTACAAAGATTCCACCAGTCAACTGCGAATCCGGGGGGAACTATCTGAGGAGTTTACCATCCAGACAGGAGTTCGCCAGGGAGACGTGGTCTTTCCACTATTATTTAATATTGTGGTGGATTTAATTACAAGGAAGGCATTTGATGGGAAACGTGGTGTCCAGTTTGGGGATGGCCACTTTCTAACTGATGTAATGTTTTCTGACGACAGTGCCGTCTTCGCTGACAACGATACAGTGGCCACAGACACGCTTTATGATATAGCCACTATCGCTCAGTCATATGGTCTTAAAATAAATGTGGACAAAACCAAAGTGCTTACAACGGATGGATCGCGGGCAACTGTTTACCTTTATGGAGTCCAAATTGAGCAGGTACAAGAGTTTAAATACCTTGGGTCACTGATCCAGGAGAAGAAAGTGGCATCGTCAAAAGAAACTCATGTCCGTATTGGACAGGCAGCCCATGCATTTGCCTCACTCAAATGGTGTATATGGAGAAAGAATAACATCTCTTTGATGAACAAGATCCGCCTGTTCCGTACACTAGTCATACCGATCCTTCTCTATGGGTCAGAAACTTGGACCCTGCTTAAGACAGACTTGGACAAACTTGAGACCTTTCAATTGAAATGCTTGAGACAGATTCTTGGTATCTCCCTTTGGGATCGCATCACCAACAATGCCATCCGGGCCAGATTGCCAACAGCAGCCATCTGTTAAGACACAAATTCAACAGCGACGGCTGAGATGGTTTGGCCATGTGTGCCGAATGGATATTAACCGAATTCCCCACCAACTGCTCTTCCGACAGCGACATACTCTGTGGAAAATCCAACACTCCGCACCTAAGGAAACGTGGACCAAACACGTTGAGAAAGACCTCAAGAACCAACGGATTGATCTGAACCAGGCAAAAGCGGCGGCCATGGATCGAGGGCATTGGAGGGGCATTGTGGAGAAAGCTCGACTTCCTGCGTCACCCACAACAGCATACTGGTTGCGCGGACACCCGCAACCAAATGCCAGCTAGGAATAAAAAAGAAGAAGAAGAAAGAAGAAGTTAGGTTATAATAGACATAAAAGTAAATAGACACGTTTCTTCATTTTCAACTGTTTGTGCTCGATTAATTATATGTTATAAGCTAATAGGAAACATCACATTTTGTTAATTCAACAGACGTTGCATATAAAATTTTATAAAAAGTGATGCTAATTCGGAAGAGAACTTATATCTCGCGGGGCAGCTACGTTTTCTGAAAGTTTATTATATATTACGCGAAATTAAAACGCGTAAAATGGCGTAAAAACAAGAAATGCGTTAGATTTATGCGCTGGAATCGGTCGAACGGTTTATTGAAAAGATAGTGAAGGAGGAGGAAGAAATACACGGCTACTCACCCTGAGAGTATTCTGTAGTGTCCAGAGGATGTCAGAGGCGATGGTCAAACAGAAATGAGAAGTTATCACCAAGGAAACGCACGTTTCACTATTCAGTTTGGACGGCGCTACTTTGACCTGGGTCATTTGTAAGAAAGCCAACTGAAGTAAAGAAAAGGCAGAAAGCAAACAGGGAAAGGCCAAGTCCCAAAGGATGTGGCTCATCACTCCCGGCATACTCTGTAAAAAGACAAAGAACTATAAGTAGGAAATTTGACTGCATTACTTCTTCTTCCTTTATCGAATGAAAACACTATAAAATTCGATCACATTCGCTACTTTTACAATTTACAAACGAAGCTGGTTCTTTTTCTATTCGGCTTATCTTAATAAAAATAAGAAGATAGTCAAACTTTTCCCTACTTACAGCGAACGGGGATAAGAATGAGTACATTGGACCATCCTCGATAACAGAAAGTGACCATTAAATTTCAATTTACTGATAGTAACCGACAAATCGTCGTGTGCCCTTTGTTATTTTCTGTGTTAATAGTATTTTGTTCGAGAAATTACACTTATATTCTCGATTCAAATATACCTTTCAGCCAAGCCTGCGAATATCTATCGTACCCATATTAACAACCGTTGCACCCTACTTAATTCTTACTTTCAACCCCCCATTCTTAATTCCAATTGTGATATAATTGTATGGAATTTATTGCTGACAATTGTGTAAAAGTCAAAGTTACTTTTTTTCCCTCTGTCTGGATATCTTAATGATGCTAAAAATGTTTAATTACTCTAATTGCCACTAAGTACTGTAATTCATCTAATTAGTTTTCTCTAATCTGAGACCAAGATTTTGTTAAAGCGATATGGCTCTTGGCCAAGTGGAAACTTCGACTTCCCCCGTACAATTCAGAAATTATATTATTGTCTCACGTTAATCCTATTAAATCTAGGTAAGATAACGACGTAAATGGTGAAATAAAAGAATCTGTGTTACAGTAAATTACTAACGGAAGCGGGAATTACAGCAAAGTTCTCCATTCTTTATAGTGGAGAATACAAGAAAATTATTTCCCCTCTGTTGTGACGTTACAGAGAATTCCTCTCTTATCCGGTAAAAGAAAACCCATTTAAACTACGTGGTAATAAAAAAAAAGAGGGAGGAATATACTCCATCACGGTAATAAATAAAGGGGTTCACTCACAGATATTTTCCGTGTTGCAAGAGGTAGAAACCCTTATAAACGAGGAATAATTGCGGCAAATTGGGGATGATGGAGAGTTCCTAAAATGGGATTAATAATGGTACTTACCACTTTCGAACCGTAAGGATCGATAAATAGTCCCAGTGCTCGCGATCCACCTAGAAGACAGAGGAAGACGTTGAGTGAAGATAGATGAGGGCGGGCCGATAATTGGGCTCTAAGACCCAAAATAGTAAAGAAAGCGGCACAAGCTAGAACTAGAAAGAGAACGGCAGTGCCGAAGGTGTGCAGAGTCCACGTCCAACTTAACTGGGACCATAATTCTGCCCAGTCGGGGTGAATCTGTATCCTTTCTTTCCACCAATCACTCGAAGAAACCGGGACGGCCACAGGTGCGGCACTGCCGTTAATCACTACCCAAGGGGTACTGAAATTGAGGGATATTTCTCCTTCTAACAAAGGAACGCTTCCGTTGGCAGAATTCCACGTCATGTCTGCAGAAGTGGTAGCGATATCCCATCAGGACTGGCGGTGAGATAGAAGTCTATATCTTATTCTGGAGGAGATTTGCTGCTGTTGCTGCTGTGTCTTTTCACACCTGTAAATACACAAATTATCTATTATTATCGAGGTATATTTCCCGTATAATTTAATATAAGAAAATTCGAATTTTTGGCACGCGAAAATACGACGTTCTTAGCCAAGACAAATGCATCCCGCTTGACATTGATTTGATGACTCATTACAACGTCATTGCTCTCTAAATATTCATTCTAACCATTCTTTTTTTCTTAAAAGAAGAAGAAAAATAAGGTCATCTCATCCTTTACGTGTCAATGATCTTATATAATTAACATTTTACAGTTAAAAAAACATCCTACACTCCAGACACCTCTCTAAATCAAACACGCTTCTGTGGAACCATTAGCATCCAGCATCCAGCATCCAGCTCATAAGAATTTAAATGAAATCTTCCTCTTTCCACGAAGAAGAGTTCGATGATCAAGACTCCAATCTTCTCAAGTTAAAAATCTCTTAATAAAACGGTTTTAATCCAGATTTTCATTTCTCGGACACGAATTGGATCGTAAAAAAGGTGATTGGTTAGGAACATAAAATATAAGAAGGATGATTATCGTCGTCCAGCCAGCATGCCAGGAGCGTGCTTACAAAAGAGGACATAAATTCGACTTTTAACAGTATCAAAGCAGGGATAAAACTGATAAACAAAGGTTCATCCCTTTGTTTTCTTTGCCTTTTTTACAACGTAGTCCGAAAATATCTTCTTTTTTAAAGCTAAATAAAAGTAATTAATGGAAGAAAGAATCATAAACCATACACTACACCAAGGATTTTTCGTGTTTATATACAGTAAACCAAACAGTAATTAACCTCGAGTATAAAAAAAAGGCTGGTAGATGCAGTGGAATACCCTCCCCCCATTCTTCCGGACGGAAACCAGTTAAGGGCGCTTTTCCCATCTCCATGGCAACCCGCACTCCGGGATGATCATCTTCGCTCATTAAACGACACTAATGGTGACAGATTAAAGCTAAAAAGAACTTAATGAATTGATAAAGACTGAATGTGTGTGTGTCCTCTTCGGCCGGAAATTACTCGATAATTAAAAATCGTGGCAAACGTACGAGGTGGAATTCCAGCGTAGAAGAGTACTTTCAAGCTTGGACGATTGCTAAAATCCTCCATAAGAAACACAACAATAAACGATCACTTCAAAGTAACACCTCGATTTGTCCGCAGTTCAAACCGTAATCTCCTTAATAGTAAAGGCGAAGGATGTTAAATGGAGTCGAAATTTACACACCGTAGCTTCATAAGATCACAATGGAAACAGAGGAGAAGAAAAATAAAAACTAGAGGACCCATAAAACCAGATAAATGACTACACGAAGACGGAAGAAGGGGGGAGATGCTGCTGCTGCTGCTGCGCCGTTAAAAGTGTCTATCGAAAAACGAAGATGGGCGCAATTCCACTCCAAAGAGGGGGAAAGAAATGTAAGAACAAAAGACAGAAAGCGGATTTGGCTTTTGCTAAACACGAGGGGTATGATCGATGGAATGCAATAAGTAAATTCTGTAGGGGATCGATGCAGCCGCATTGAACACTCGTCTCCTTCCATCCAACGACTGCAAAACGGCTACCGGGATGATGGGAGGAAAATACGAGCCGTGACGGGGTGAAATCCATTCGAAAAGACGGAAAAGAACACTTTCGCTATCATCAATATAAAAAAGAAAAAGAAGAATCTTTCTCGCTTCTTATCTACTCCGGGAAGGAAGAAGAAGAGTCATCTCCTGTTTCTAAGAATGATCTCCCCCCCTACTTGCAGGTTAATTACGGTTTTCTTGGTTGATCGAATAATAATAATGATCATTCTCTCTCTCTCCCGAAATGACTTTCACTAACGAAAAATAATCTTGAGAATCTTTAACACACGAAGGAGGGGAGGAAAACTGCTTTAGAAAATGCAGATGATCTGCGTGTTTCTATTGTAAAAGAAAAAAACACATAGAAAAACCCCAACGCTATCAGTTTCTAAAACGGAAAATAATGACTAACGTCGTTCAAACGAAACGACAGGTCTTTAGAGAGTTAGAATATTAACAATGGAGACTTTAGACCATTAATATTCGCCGAGTTAATGACAAGATTCGACTGAATACCCGAAGAAAATTAGTGGAGGATGACAGCTGAAGAGAAAAGAGAGCACACACACACACACACACCTGTTATCATAACGACAGGTAGAACTGTCACACCAGCCAGTCTAAGTAATAATAGGAAAAAGGTATTTTTAGATTTAAATATGGGGAGGAGGGGGGAGAGAAAAAAAAAGAAGAAGAAGGAAAGAGGCATTAATGTGGGGTGGATAACGTATGGGAAGCTTGTTGCACGTTGGCATCATTCCAGCTTGGACGATACGCCCGGCACACACACACACACATGCATCTGTTCTACCTGTGGACACTTCGAAAATTGGAACCGCCATCCTCATCTTATACGTGTTTATGTTGGCGACTGGATGCGGACCGGATGTGACGTCGGCATCCGGAAGCGCCTTGGCGGAGATCCAAAGAACTATTTTTCTTTTTCGGTGAAAATTTATGACGAAAGATCGCCCGTTTAAACGAAATTGGAACACGATAAGAAATTGGTTATCGAAGAGAAAGAGGAAGAGGAAGAGGAGGAAAACGTGAGATGCACCATTTTTCTCACTTAACAAGTTAATTTTTGCACCCTTTTTAGTTATTGTTTAGTCGCTCTTTCGGTATAACTTTCCGGGTTTTTCGTCGTCCCTATTATTCCTGATTGTCACCCCACTCCGGCTGATTGAACGATACAATAAACGATCCGCTATAGTTCGTGTTGTATGTTTATTTTCCAGCGTACGTCATTTTATTTTTCCAGGAGTGACCAGTCGATATCGTACCGTTGTTTCCTATTATATCAAACAAATACTCGATTTATTCTCCAAAAACACCGTATATATATATATATATTAACAATGCTAAATAATCGATTTTGTCACCGTAATTAATTAATACATCACGTTGNTACAACATGGAATTCATATAAAACGGAATAATCAAGTGTTATGGGGGTCGACTTGTATGTTCACCCATTGTTACTTCTGCGCCATGTTTGCCTGTTTGATCAATTCCTTTCTATTATATAAGCATGATTCTCATTCATGTACGCTTTTTTTTGTTACGCAACGTAAAACTATTACATTTTCCTGTATTAAAACATAAAGGAAAACGTACATTTCTTGCTACTTTCGGTATAAAATTAATAGTATTAATAATGAAAGAAATTGGTTCCCGTTTAAAAATTTAATAACTAGAGAATTAAATAAATATTGATCTGTACGTATTCCAATTACTATCTTTATGATATTAATAATTCAAAAATGTCCTTAGTGGAATTACATTGCAATTTTTCATTATTTTTTTTACTTGTTTAATTTTTAAATTTCATCCGACGAATATAAATATATAGATGCTTATTTTTATGTGTCAAATATATAATATCAGCATTAAAATATTTAGTTATATAACGATAAAAATTCTACAATTTGTTAATTAAACCTTAATTAAACAAATACATTAGGTTTTGTGTATTCAAAATGGTTTCAGAAGTGGGGCTACCGGGTTTTGAAGGAGGAGCAATGGAATTAAATAAAACACCAAGTGTTTGAGTGTTATAAAGCAGGGATCGAGTAAGACAAACTTTATGATACTGGGAGCATTCGTTTTCTGCTCCCTTTAGCTACGTTACCATTGTTGTTTGTTAAGTTACGCCAACGTGACACTTCGGCGATGCCTTCAGGGAGGTGTTTTTTAAGGGAAACAGGCCCCTATTTAGGCGTTACAGACGTGGAGAAAACCCGGAAAACTCCAATGTCGTGAACCCAAGACCAAACTCCCAGCGTTCGGGGTACGAAGACCGCGTGACCACTGGCGGGCACTGCTACCTTACCGAGCATTACCGACTTATTATAACACTTTTAGGGACCTCAAAGGCACATAAATCTATGCTTTCTGATACTTATCCTTAAGCTATGATACTAGTGCATTGTATATCAAGTGACATGCGATAAGGATATTATATAAAGGGGTGGATTGCAAATCCACACAGTATCTAGTATCTCGTCTACCATTGCTCCACATTAAATTGTTCCTTACCGACTATACTTTAAACATTTCTAAATCTCTTTTAGAGTTTTAAATGAAACACTGACACGCAGAACTTTATTACGAGCTTAAAAAAATGGAAATAATACATTGTTTTATTGAGCGTTAAACAATACGAAGTTAGAAATAACACTGAAATAGCCACGAAGTTTCTGATAAGTGATAGAATTAAGTATAATGTTTTCTACATCAAGAAAACGTATAAAATCTCTAATTCAGCAGGAAACGTTTGAAAACAAAACACAGGAAGCTTGTGTTTTTCTTTCTTTTCTGTTTGTTTGTATGCTTTAAACATAAGCTACACCATTAAAATCATTTGTAAATCAGAAATATTAACATCCTTTCAGTTAGTTTTACTTACAGTATCTAATAATAGAATCTTACGAATAGTTTAGTGGTATTTTTTCTTTACTAGAAATAACAAATAATTAATTATTTACAAGTTTAGTTTAAAAAGTAAGATTAGAATTAATGCAAATTTAATTTACATTAACAAAAATTTGCTGTAAAACAACAAAATTATAAATTACACGTACCGTACCGTACCGTACAGTACATTAGACAAGTTAGCACTAAATTATATCGAATTATCCTTCTTAAATAATATAAACAGTTGCAAATTGGTCTAATTTTTTATATTCCCCATCTTCTTCCTTGATTTATGATCTTATTATACCGTATATAACCCTCTAATTTCATATATTATATCATCTAAACTAATACAGCTGTATTAGTTAAACACGTATACGAGGACGTATATATGTGTATAGAATTAATATATACATCGAAATTAATAATATAATTATATTATAAATTGTAAAAAGGGGTTTTAAAACTTAATAATTACATAAAACTAATTGTATATTTCTTTTACTAGAAACTTATACAATTAAACAAATACATTAGGTTTTCTGTATTGAAAATGGTATCAGAAGTGGGGTTTTTGAAGGAGGAACAATGGAATTAAATAAACACCAAGTGTTTGTTTGAGTATTTAAGTGTATTATTACAATACAGACAGGTGTAATTTATCTTCTATTTTACGACGTTTGAATCATCTAACGTTTTATACAAGTGTGTAGGGCCTATATATTGATACATATAGAATTACATTGATAAATCTTTTGTAATTTTTCTTATTATCTTCTCTAAAGAAAGATTTTTACAATAATTCAATAAATCATCGATTTTTTCCTTTCCTTTTTTAAGCGTTAAATCTCCATTATGCAAAATTAATTAAACGTGCAAAAAAATATACCTAACGATTTATAGCTTATTCGAGTAATCAGAAGGAATATTTTTTTCTTATATATATATTCTTAAGATAAGGAAAATATTATTACGTGATTATGTCTTACAAATGTTTAAAAAATCTATTAATTTGAATTATATAGAATTTTCTGTCCCGTAAAATAACTTTTATAGAAGTTCTTTTTAAAATATTCTAAATTGTGAATTGTGGGAAATGCATCTACACCCTAATTTTAGATATGAAAATTTTAGTTTGTGTGCAGTTCTATACGTTCTTATATATAAAAATTATAATTTGTATTTCAGAAATTCTTGTAATTCCTATATTTTTCCTATGTTCTTAATAATCTATAGATAAATAAATTCCTACATTTTCTATATTCCTTCCTATATTCTTCCTATGTTTTCTGTATTCCCTCCCTATATTCTTCCTACGTTTCCTGCATTCCCTTCCTACCTATTCTCTTTATATTCCCTCCATCTATTCTTCCTATGTTTTCTATATTCCCTCCATTTATTCTTCCTACGTTTCCTGCATTCCCTTCCTACCTATTCTCTTTATATTCCCTTCCTACTTGATCTCTCTATATTCCCTCCCTATATTCTTCCNTAAAAAAACATCCTACACTCCAGACACCTCTCTAAATCAAACACGCTTCTGTGGAACCATTAGCATCCAGCATCCAGCATCCAGCTCATAAGAATTTAAATGAAATCTTCCTCTTTCCACGAAGAAGAGTTCGATGATCAAGACTCCAATCTTCTCAAGTTAAAAATCTCTTAATAAAACGGTTTTAATCCAGATTTTCATTTCTCGGACACGAATTGGATCGTAAAAAAGGTGATTGGTTAGGAACATAAAATATAAGAAGGATGATTATCGTCGTCCAGCCAGCATGCCAGGAGCGTGCTTACAAAAGAGGACATAAATTCGACTTTTAACAGTATCAAAGCAGGGATAAAACTGATAAACAAAGGTTCATCCCTTTGTTTTCTTTGCCTTTTTTACAACGTAGTCCGAAAATATCTTCTTTTTTAAAGCTAAATAAAAGTAATTAATGGAAGAAAGAATCATAAACCATACACTACACCAAGGATTTTTCGTGTTTATATACAGTAAACCAAACAGTAATTAACCTCGAGTATAAAAAAAGGCTGGTAGATGCAGTCGAATACCCCCCCCCCATTCTTCCGGACGGAAACCAGTTAAGGGCGCTTTTCCCATCTCCATGGCAACCCGCACTCCGGGCCCTCCCTATATTCTTCCTACGTTTCCTGCATTCCCTTCCTACCTATTCTCTTTATATTCCCTCCATCTATTCTTCCTATGTTTTCTATATTCCCTCCATTTATTCTTCCTAGGTTTCCTGCTCGTACAACATGGAATTCATATAAAACGGAATAATCAACTGTGTTATAGGGGGGTCGACTGGTANAAGCCTACAAAGATTCCACCAGTCAACTGCGAATCCGGGGGGAACTGTCTGAGGAGTTTACCATCCAGACAGGAGTTGGCCAGGGAGAGTGGTCTCTCCACTATTATTTAATATTGTGCTGGATTCAATTACGTGTTTTCTGTATTCCCTCCCTATATTCTTCCTACGTTTCCTGCATTCCCTTCCTACCTATTCTCTTTATATTCCTCCCTATATTCTTCCTATGTTTCCTATATTCCCTCCCTATATCCTTCCTACATTTCTCAATTCCTACTAAGAATTGAACTGAAAGATTCTTTAACACACCAAAATGAACTAAAAAAAAAAATTAACTTTATTATTTACTTAATCATTCAATGAATAAATTAGATTGTCGTTATTAAAATTTCCATATTTGATTATAATTTATTTATTCAACAATTAATTAATTTTTTCCTACTTTACCACAAGAAAAAAATAAAAATAAAACCGTTAAATTACGAACCTTTCTTCTGAAGAAAATCGAAGATTAAATAATAATCAATGAAAAAAATCATGTAATTATAGATAAATTTCTATCATTATTTTTCGAAAAAAGGACAAAAATAAGACAGAACGATAATTATGTAGGTCATACAGTGTTTTTTTTTTTAATTAAAGAAGAACATTCCAACAACTTAAATTTACTCCAGACTTAAAAAATTTGACAAATGCCATCGACTACACCTTTCAAACATAGCCGTTCACATATAATAGGTCAATTTACAAGTCCTTTGACAGGGGTAGAATACGTGACTAGAATAACACAGAATACCTCTGTAATGGTTACCGTCTGAAGTAGAACGTACTTCACTGTTTACTGGCTGCGTTATTGCTTTAACTACTTTAATACAACCAATTAATGAGCACGAATATTATTGATAATTAATCTGGAAGCATTTTGTTATTCGCTTTTCCACGCAAACCAGAGATACGTTACGTTTATTGAACCAATCGATAAAGTGATACTACACTTGCAAAATTCAGATACATAATTACAAAATATCGATTACTGAACGTCTTACATAAATAAGACTTAAGTGGAAAAATATTGGAATTTAGAAAAGAAAGA